GAAACCTAAGCTCAATTTTCTATGTACTGAAGTGCTCAAAATGATTTTTGTGAAATAGTGAAATGTTAAATAATTAGAAATTTTTGTTAAATAAAAAGGGAAAGAACATGAATCGGAAAAAGTGTCGAGTGCCACCCGTGTGAGTGCCCCATATCCTTAGTGACAAAAACAACAGGACGGAAAAGAAAAACTTGTGCAGCTCCTCAAGGAACCTAACTCCTACTACACCTCTCCTAACTCCTCTTCTTCCTCCTTGTCCGCATCCACTTCCTCTTCTTTCTTATTCCCTCCTCCTCCTCCTTTACCGCCATATTATCTTTTCATTTTGTCCTCCTCCACTTTCTTTTTCTCCTTTTCTGTTTTCTTTCCATCCTCCCAGTTTCTTCCTCTTCCTATTCACCCTCTTAATCTCGTATCCCCAAGAGAAACCTACCTGATGTCCACCCCAGGGTATGCTGCCCCTTTTTTTTCCTCACAGGGGTATAACTTTCTATTGTATACTGTCTTATGTTCCCTTCACGTTTCCCCTCTCACACATCCTGAGGGAAATAAGATTTAATATATATTCGGAACTGAGGCTCCTTTTTTTCTTTATACTCAGACAAAGATAAATAAAACTTCACGATCTCTCCAAGTGATTTTCGTTCCTCTTTCCACTCTCATCTTTCGCCTTTTATTCATTCTTGTATTTTTTTTCCTGTCCATTCATCATCCCATTTCCTTCTCTCTGTGTCCTTATCTTTCTGTCACTAAATCATTAAAAGCACCTCACACCCCCTGTGACCACATATAGGTGAGTATCATCACCACACACCTAACCTCCCCACACATAACTACCACACACCTCGTAACCTCGTCACACCATAACTACACACTCAGATTTCTCCATCACATAACTACCCATCTTTCCCTCTAGCACCTCACAACAATACATATCTTTGATGCACCACATCACCACACACTTCCTTCCTTCCAGCACAAACACTCACTTCCAACAGAATTCCACAATACCATGACTATTGAATCACACAAAAGTTTCATGTTTTCGCTGCAATAACATTACTGCCATCTTCAATTCAATCATCTCAGCAGCATCACTTTACAGGAAACCCCCCAGTGCCCTGAACCCCCCACCCCTCCTCCACAGAAACTCTACCTCACCCACTTCTCTACCCTAACCCATTCAACACCCTAATTTCCCTTTCCCACTTCTCTACATTCATCCCCACCAATACCTCACCCTCACTCACTTGCCTACTTACATTCCTCCAACACCTCAATTTACCTTACCGAGTTCGTTATTCTCACCCCACCTACAACTCAACTCCCTCACCCACTTCTCTGTCCTCACCCCTGTAACACCTTCCACTCTTCGTCATTTACTCACGAACTTCCTCGATCTGCCTTCACCCTCGATACCTTTAATTACTCACTCAACTACTTCCTCTTCACCCATTTCCTCCCAGTCTCCTATTACAAAGATGCCACTTCCCTTCCGTCCGGTAGCACTTTAAGAGGGCAGTCTAACCACCCCTACCCTTCTTCCTCCTCCTCCTCCTCCCCTCTCCTCTACCCTCTTCGTCAGTAACGTCCACCTATTCCTCTGGAGCAGCAGTCAGCGATGAGAGCCTTGATCAAGCACAACCACAAGATGGAACACTTGAAGGTGAGTCACTAATCAAGTTTACATCACCAGCCCCAGCCACACACTCCCTCAGGTAGGTATCTCAATCTTTCTTCAGGTAGGCATTTCCTTCATCCTTCTCTCTCTACATCATGTTCGCTTTAAGTCCCTCTGGCTGTCCACAAGTGAGAGATGGAATTGTAACTTGATAATGCGTCTCGTGTTAGTAGCATCGTGTTGTAAAGTACACGTGGTGAAACGGGCATATTGTTGTAAGTCTTGCAAGTAGATGGAACTTCAGTAGTACACCGTGTAAACAGGAAAACTTTCTAAGAATTCATGCTCATAGCGGAATATTAAGAAACTGACTTGGTGAAAGTTATATTTCACCTCTTCCAATAGTGTTATCGCTATTTTATTAAAAAATCTATATATTTCTCTCTCTGTCTCTGTTTGTCTGTCTGTCTGTCTGTCTGTCTGTCTGTCTGTCTGTCTGTCTGTCTCTCTCTCTGTCTCTCTCTCTGTCTCTGTCTGTCTGTCTGTCTGTCTCTCTCTCTCTCTCTGTCTCTCTCTCTGTCTCTGTCTGTCTGTCTGTCTCTGTCTGTCTGTCTGTCTCTCTGTCTCTCTCTCTCTCTTTCTCCACTGTTGATGTTAGTAATTCACAATCTCGAAGAGAATAAACGGGATTCAGGATAATATATTACATATTCTATTTGCGAATGCGTTAGTACTTTATTATTTTGCTTGACACAGTTGCAACGAGAGTTGAATTACGTGTCGCAAAAATGTTTGTCAAAACTTAGTTATTAAAAACTTTATCCAGCTTCTCAGAGCCAGGGAGTTATATATGTGAATAATAATAAACTCTCGTCAAATATTCTTCTTATTATTTACGGTACGGGAGAATTATTATTTAAGGTCGAATAATGATACAAAGTCAGATACCCCATGTGAGTACTACGTTCAATTCACCACTGAAACCAGTCAAGCTATTAACTGCTGCAATTAGTTTTCGTGTCAAGACACCGCTGAATTTCAACAACTTCTAACGTAGTGAGTTGAGCAAGTGCTTATACAAAGAGATGTGTTTATCTCTCAGGCTGGAAAACTACTGTATACTTATGACCCCTTTCGAGGCAGGGGAGATAGCTGAACCGGAAACCGTACAGAGAACCTTCAATGTTAGTATAATATCAGTCAAGTATCCAAACTATTGGCAGCGACTGAAGCCCTTAGAACAGTACCCCTTGGGAAGTAGGCGAGAAAGATACATCATTATCTTCGCCTGGCAAAAATATATGTACAAGGAAAGTACCTGGGGCTCTAGTACTTAACTTGCACACTACTATGTATGTATAACGACTTACTGGAGATAAATATATGGCAGATATTGTGGAATAAACCTAATGAAGAGGAGGGGGATATATGGGTACAATAAAATAACAGCGTCAACTTCCGTGGTCCAAGACTCTTCGACATAATAATAAATACTGTCGGAACAAAATTGGAAGATTTCAAGAAGCTCCACAGCTTCCCTTTTCAAGTATTGGATCAGCCGGGTTGTGATAGCCATGTTGACCTGCCGGCCGCTAGCACAAACAGCTTGGTCAACAGGGAAGCCTGAACCCAAGTAGAAGAGTCTTCGAAATCAATCACGGGAAAAGGCAGAGGTAAATAATGAAGGTGAATTGAGTTCATCCTTGTCAACACAATCTCTGTCCAGTAAATTTACAACTAGCGAAAGAGATTTCCGAACATGATACTTGTACGGTGACGGTAAAACATTTACCATTGCTGGATATTCAATAATTCGACATTATAATGATATAAATTTAAGAGTAAGTAATGGAAAGTTTTTCCTAGATAACGTATATCTTAAACCTTAAGCGATTTTTATGAATATATCTTTATATCTTACGAACACAAAGTTCTCATCGTTTTCTAGCAGCGATATTTAGAAAAAAGGAAACCTGACGTAAAGCAGGGTTGCCAGGGTACAGAAGCACTCGAAACCGGCCACGTGTCACAGGTAGGCCACGTGTACGTGTCATGTCAGTGGTAAGTGATAGTACAGTGTCAATGTTAAGTGGTAGTGCAGTGTCAGTGGTAAGTGGCAGTACAGCGTCGGTGTTAAGTGGTAGTACAGCGTCAGTGGTAACTGGTAGTACAGTGTCGGTGGTAAGTGGTACTACAGTGTCAGTGGTAAGTGGCAGTACACTGTCAGTGGCAAGTGGCAGAACAGTGTCGGTGGTAAGTGGTAGTGCGGTGTCAGTGGTAAGTGGTAGTACAGTGTCGATGTTAAGTGGTAGTACAGTGTCGGTGATAAGTGGTAGTACAGTGTCACTAGTAAGTGGCAGTACACTGTCAGTGGCAAGTGGCAGAACAGTGTCGGTGGTAAGTGGTAGTACAATGTCAGTGGTAAGTTGTAGTACAGTGTCAGTGGTAAGTAGCAGTACACTGTCAGTGGTAAGTGGCAGAACAGTGTCGGTGGTAAGTGGTAGTACAGTGTCAGTGGTAAATGGCAGTACAGTGTCAGTGGTAAATGGTAGAACAGTGTCAAGGGTAAAGGGGCAGTACAGAGTCAGTGGTAATAGGCAGTGCAGTTTCAAGAGTGAGTGGCAATGCAGTGTCAAGGTTAAGAGGCAGTATAGTGTCAGTGGTAAGTGGCAGTAAACTACAGTGGCAAAATGAGTTGCAACAGTGGACGTAGTGGGAAGTGGCGACCAAGTTCGAGCTTCTTGGGTAGCTTTGGACGCCCCACTTTAAGTTCTGCTGTCTCCATTCCTTCACTCTCTCTCTCTGAGCGTAATCCCGCAGAGCAACTTCAGCAAAGTCTAGGAAATTAGTTTTTATTCTTAAGTTTCAAAAGGCAGCTTAATTTCCTCTCCAGCTTTGAAAGGGATCTGATCTGTTCCAAGTATTTTCGAATATCTCCGCCTCTACACAGACGTTCGAACACCACATTATCATATCGCCTCCTTTTTCCTGTTTTCGCCGTTTTCAAGAACAGATGTAAAGGTCACTTGTCTGGAAGGTTGCGAGGGAAAATGGGGTGAAATCAGGTAGAAAACATCCATTATGTAGCTGTAAGATTTCATCTCTAATACAAAGTAATAATAATGGGAGAAGAAATAATTGAAAGGAAATTTGAACCTATCACCGGAGGTTCATGCAAGCAGGATTACATTAGTGACGAATATAGCGTTTTCAAACCTGACAGCTTTCAGAGGTTTTCAGGAGGATTCTTAGGAATGCTTTTGTAACATTCAGTAGGCACACACACACACACACACACACACACACACACACACACACACACACACACACACACACACACATACACACACACACACACACACACACACACACACACACACACACACACACACACACACACACACACACACACACACACACACACACACAACACATACACACACACACAACACACACACACACACACACACACACACACACACACACACACACACACACACACACACATATACACACATACACACATACACCCATACACACATACACACTCACACATACATATACATACACGCACATACACACACTATATATATATATATATATATATATTATATAATAATATATATATTATATATATATATATATTATATATATGTGTGTGTGTTGTGTGTGTGTGTGTGTGTGTGTGTGTGTGTATCAGAATAACATATGAGAGGCCAATATTAGAACTTGCACCACTAGCGGTGGACTCATGTTTCCTCAGACACGTGATAAAGCTCGATAAGATCCAAGATATTATCACCATGCTTGTCTCTGAGATGCAGGAAATGAGGAATGACGGCAGACGAAAATAAATCTTGCTGCACTCTAGAAATATAAATAGTGGGGAGACATGATTATAGCATATAAATTACTCAGAGATATCAACAATATAAATAAAACCAAAGCTAAAGAGTGGTAATACCAGGAAGAAGTCACACAAATGAAAGATTTACCCACGAAAGATCTCAAGTGGGAGAATATAATCTTAAGAGGAAAGCTGTAGTGGTCACACAGCACCTGGTGAATGGGAGGTAATCAGGTTTGACCTGAGCAAGGAGAAGTGGTCTAAATTTCCTTGAATCAAGAACACTTCACCTACATCAAGCCCAAGAGGAGAAGGAATTTCTTCTCCGTACTAGAATCAAACAACGTATGTTGTAAATGATCTTAACTAAGACTCATTATACTATTATACATGTTTCTGTTACATGGGTGGATCCCCATTACAGGTAGGCATTACTATATATTAATGTATGCGGGACTTAAGATATATACAGCATACAGTCCAGATTTCTTTCCATTACCCTCCACTCTCTCTGTCTCTAACTCTCTCTCTTTCTCTCTTCTCTACATATTATTTTTGGTCCCGTCTTTCTGTGATGAGTAAGATATCTTTATGAAAATTCCATTTCTTCTGGGTATAGAATAGGCTATATTGAGAGATGGTAATTCCCACGTAATATAAAGTAAGCTTTGCTTGAAATAAACCTTTGAAGCTCCCTTAGGTGCAGAGCTTCAATGATATACTTTACGATTTTCTCCTGATCTTACTGAATTCTCCTAGCTCAGGCTAACAGATTTTAACAGTATGGTCGTTGCTGTGGCCTGTGTGAGTGACGGAATATGAAAAGGAAAATTTACCTATCACATAAAATAGGGTAGCATCACAGAGGTGATATATCCACTTTTTTTGAAAAATAAAATACAACTCTCATGAGGGAGTAGAGTGGATCCTAATGGCTGACAAGAGTGAAGAGCAACGCGAGACACTTTGTAGAACATGCTTGTATTGGGACGAGCTATCGCTCTGTTTAGAGCTTAATTAATTACACAGTCATGATTTGATAAAGTTTTACACAGAGCGAAACGTCGTCTGAATGACAACATGTTCCGCCACCCGCGTCTAGAGACCTTCTCCACCCGCGTCTAGAGACCTTCTCCACCCGCGTCTAGAGACCTTCTCCACCCGCGTCTAGAGACCTTCTCCACCCGCGTCTAGAGAC